GGGAAATTGGATAAGTGTGGCGTGTGAGCGGCCACTGCTGGTAGGATACTCAGATCGGCCTCTCACACGCCACACGTAACGAAGTACTTCGGGAACATCTACGCTCGAACTAAGGCGAAAATTCTGTTCAAAACGGGAGATGGTTCAAACCGAGATTGTTCTTTCACAGCCCGGAGTTCAACAAGGTTGCAGTCCGGGAGGGTTTGGCTTCTGCGCAGGACTCCTCATCTTAAAAAAGAGTTCAACACCAAGTCAACAGTGCCAGGAGCCAAGCGCGTTGGATAAGTCCATGGCCTTCGAGCGCATCTTCCACCAGGTTTGGCCAGAAACGTGTGGGCCATCGCCACTGTGACGAAAAGGATTGAGGAAAGTCTCTCCCAAGAGGTAATTGAGCTCAGTTTCCCGAAATCTAGAGTGCTCTTCCCAGAGGGACTATGTTGTTCCCCTCTCACAAACGACGAACAATTCCATCGCCAACTTCGCCCGCGGCGACCCAGGCAGAGTTGATACATCGCCAACTTCGCCCGCGGCGACCCAGGCAGAGTTGATACACCGCCTGACATCACTTGACGACCCTCAAGCCAGTTGTCAACGTCCACCTGGCATGCCACGTTTGTTCCAGCTGCTGAGAACGAATACGCCTTCCATCCCCAACGCTGCCACGAGAGAACATGATGATTCGGGCAGTGAGCAAGATCATCCTCGTCAAATGACAAGACTATGTCGTAATGCCGGCCGAAGGAGAAGTACGCGTCAAGCCGGCGGAGAGTGTGGTGCGTTTCCTCAAACGCACAGCGCGGGCACAAGTTCACCTGCCCTTACGTGAAGGGGGGCTCGGAATCACAAGCAATGTTCTCATTCGAGAATCGGCCTGTGTGGCAGGGCAAGCGTTGGTGTTCTCCAAGTCAGTACAAGCATCGACCGGATACACCAGAGAGCAATGTCTCCGCCCAAGCAACCAACAGGGTTGGGTCTGAGGGAGTCGCTCAAGAAACTAGAGGGGACCATCACCAAAGACAAGCTTGAAAATGCTGTTGGGCAGTCATGAGCCAAACCGGCCACATGTGATGATGTGACTCCAATGCTCAAAGGAATTTACCTCATGGACATGCGATCGCGAGGGATTTGTTCAGCATAACCAAGTCTTTGGGGGCCCAAGCCGTCCTGTCAAAGCCTTATCATGCGGCAGTATGCATATGGCGTGTAGTGGAGACAGGCTTGCGGAAGATATCCTCCAAGGAAACGTCAGGGAAGAGAATTCACAACCACATGGCTCTCGAGACGCCCTAAGAATTTAGTTTTGCGCCAACGAAAAAATGACCATCGCCGCGGAGCACTCTTCCCAATTCACCAGAAGCACTGGTACAAGACACGGACTACGGTACACAATATGCAGTTTGCCATCCCCCCAGGTTAACGTGCAGGCCAAAAAGACCAGGGTCTCTCCACCAAACCGGTCCTCATAATTGTCACCAGTGCCAACCAGCAGCGAGCTGAATGCAACACCAATTGGTCCAAATCCCTGGGCCCGCCCTCGACGAGAGGGCATCTATCGACTCACTCTGTCGTTTTCGGTGTACCGCGGTATGTACTTCAGTTTCAAGTACTAAAAAGCCGGAAGACGGGAGGGAAATAGATCCTTTTGGCGACTCTGTTTTGCCTCTTCTGTGGAAACCCGTTCGACGTTGTCCGAGGTGAAGACGCCTTTCCCCCCCCCTCGAACGCCGAACAGCAACGCTGCATGCGTAATAAGGTGGTCTATACTTTGGCGCTCGTCGAAGTGAACCGGACGGAAACAACGGTGTTCATAATGTTGTGCTCATGCTCAGTAAGATGGTTGCCGCCGTCCACTATGCAGGATGGTGAAAGAGGTGGCCAGCTACGAAGTGGAGGCTAAGGAAAACGAAGCCAAGGTGCAGAAGATGCGGGACGATGGAAAGGACGCCTACGACATCAGGAAGCAGGAGGAGGTATTCTGTGTTTCCGCTGTACCGCTGACGAGTAGTAGCCCGCTCGAAATGTCTCTAAGCCAAGGCGGCTGTGATACAGCGTTTATGAGCATATGGCCTTCCTGAGAAGGCTGTCGTCTTCCGTTGCGCGCTACAGCACCAGCAGTTATTAAATAGCAACTACAGAGGAGAAACAAGGATGGGGAGGACGCACCTGTGCGACGCCGTAAGTTTATGGTTTTTCAACCCCTGTCAGCCATCTTCACGAATCAAACGATGTGTCTAGCAGTAGCCGCTGTACCTGCTCGGAGAAAGGGTCATCGGTCGTACAACAGAGTGGGAAATGACACTGAAAATAAGCTTCCTGGTGTTCGGGTTCTGAAGACACTGAGGAGCGAAGGAGGGGAGCAACCATAACCTCCAACGTGTCTTACGGAAAAGCACCATGGGCTATGCATAGTTGCGGCGGAGACTCGGCAAGAATTAAGCTGAGGGCGACCGGCGGGTGGAACGGGCAGAATTTGTTGCAGCACAGTCCATCTCGACATCCGACTGCCGCCCTTGCTCGAGAGACTTCCCGATTTTCGTGTGATGCCGTATTCTTCTTCCCATAACACGGCCAGGTTTTGCAGGAGAGCTACATGATGATCCCCGACAGCAAGTCACGGCTGGCCAAGGCATTGGAGGACATGGAAGGCTTTCTCGGGGAGCACGCCGGCGCTGAAGGGCTGCCAACTGACCAGCTGGAAGAGGCCAAGGGGTTGTTGGTTGAGGCGGGCATCACTGCGTGAACGTGGGGGACTGGGGCCGCAGAAATTGGGCGTCTAACTTGCGGGCCATAGTTGCCTGGCCACTGTTGTTGGCGCAGGAAGGGATTCGGTAGGTCTGCTCAGGGGCATGGTTGGGAGCAGTGGCGGGGGAGTCCACACAGATTTGCTGCAGGAGACACGTGTTCCTTGATGGTTCCAAGCTGGAATGTTCCTGATGTAGTACCAGCACACGGTGACAGTCTCAGGCTGTAGTGGCGTCACCGTGGAGCATTTCGTGGATCGGGACACCTTCGTGCAATAATGGTGGCGGAGTTCCTTCCCAGCCTCGAACGCCTGAAGAAGTGTCGTCGGGTGTTGAAGGTGTACATAAGATGTTGCATGTGTACAGATTGTCGCAGACACGCGGTTTTGTAAATGGGGGTGACTTCAAGCAATGCAAGAGCCCAGAAGATCAACACATTTCAGTGGAGCACGTCAGGCAGGGAAACACGTTGCGAGTGTCTATAAACGTCGGGATTTCAGTGATGCTGGACTGCTGGAACTAAGGTGATACACCTAAAAAATATACACGATGAACCAAAAGTTGACGCGCGCCATAATTGCTACATTCCATGCCAACATTCTTATGAGATGATCGTACACTGGCGTGATCAAAATCTGGCAAATGGCTAAACTCCGTTTACTCTTCATTCGTCTGCCAGAACCTTGGTGGAAAGCTAAGCACGACAGCGAAGTGAAACACGCGTCAACGTTGTTCCTGTTCCAACCCAAGCAACAAAAAGTCCAACGTCACGACAAGTTCATCGATTCATGCCCGAGCGTACAGTCAACCCGAGAGAGCAAAAAGAAGAGCATGGTGTAGCATCAACAACCCTCCTCACGTTTGGTCCGTAGACAAAGACCACGTCCAACAGACCCTACCTTGCGTTCAACACACACCATCAACGGCCGTCCTCGACGCTCCATGCCTGGGAATTCCATCGCAAGAAGCATGCGCCCTAGTGGGACAAGTTCTGTCAAACCATTGTCCGGACTATATCCGTGGACAACACCCCCGTCAACCCATGATCCAAGCACACAAATGTACACACGCTGTTTCCGAGCGCATGCATACAACACCGTTTGCATCCCGCCCCTTCTTTCTTCCGGAGCCCTCGAACTTCCCAAATCGGCCCACGTGGTGCCAGGCGCCAGCATATTACAGCACGGAGCCAGGCCGCCCCCATGCTCCGAAACTCCTCACTCACACCCTATGCTATAACGCAGCCCTCTTGTTGCTGCTGATATCTGTCGTCGACGTAACGCCCACCGGCGTGGAGGACGCTCTCCAAGCACTCCAGGCACGCCAGGTCGAGAACGGGATCCTGCGCCGAGCTGCCCTGGTGGTAGTTCTGCACTGCGAAGACGTTTTCCTTCGGCAGGGGCGCCTCTGGGTCGTTGCCCAATGCCTGCGAGAGCCCCTCGCACCTTAAAAAACGAAATTCCACAGAAAAAGATTCGGGGGGGCATGGATACAGGTCGACATCGAAAGTTGTCTCACATCAAATAGTTCCGCGATGTCGCCATGGTCTAGTCACACACACCCTTCGTGTGAATACAACAGTCAGGGCTCATTTCTTTTGTGCAACGCTCAACTCACCCGGTCCAGCCACAAAACAAGTTCCGTGCGTGCGAATGGAACCAATCGATCTCTATCTTGGCAGGATTGCGTTAGTTTTCAAGAAACGCGCTCGATGTGAAGACATGGGAGTGAGCCCATTAGGGCGTGAGCAAATGCTGGAACCGCACGGGCCTGTAAGCAATGACTTCCCAGCGCCAATGTTGACAACCTCGCATGGCTTCGAGAAAGCGAGTTACGGGGAAAGAGATATTCTCGCATTTCGCGCCAGAGCGCATAATCATGAGAACGATTTCGGGGGACGAAGAAACGCCAACCCCTCTTCTCGCGTTGAAAACGAACCCGCGCACCGGAGAAGAAACCTTCTGTATGACATGGTATCTCAGTGCTTCAGGTAGGGAGACAAGCACTTGCGGATGGTACGAACTGGAGGCAAAACATTGGGTTGACGTATTGTAGTCACGAAGAGTACGCGACGATCTACGAACCGATCAACGTAGCCGGATGGTACAGTATTTGAACGGTTTCACAGAAAGAGGCGCGCACTTGATTGGGCCATCCCCGCCAGATCACAGGGGAGTGCACCTTAACAACACACACATTTTCCAAGGAAAATATCGTGGTTTCCGCCTGCCTCGACTGACTCACCACAAGGAAATGATTCCGGGCAGCTCTGCCTCCCGATCAAACTCTCCCGCTCCCGCTGACTCGTTGCCATTCGAGGGATGCTCCATCCCGCTCGAAGAAGATGCTTTCGCATTCGAAACACCTTCGTGCCCGTTCAACGAACTTTCTTGCGCGTTCGAAGAAGCTTCTTCGCTACCACCATCGCCTGGAGACGCTTCCGCGGACTGTTCGAGAGAACCTTCCTCCGTGGCAGTCTCTGCCTCAGTGTCCGCCTCGGTGCCCTCTTCCTCCTCCTCCCAATCGCTACTGGTGCTTTCGTCGTCTTCGTCTGGGGCATACGCGTCGATATGCGTCAACACCGCGAAGACTTCGTGTCCTGAGCGCAGTCCACAAAAAAACGGGAGAGGGGTGAGAAAATAGCTACCTATTCCTTGGCTGAGAGGGTAGTGGCGGTCGATGTATATGGGGTGCTTTGTCTAAGATGCGGAGACGGGAGTCAACAAAAGCAAATAGGACAAGGGTGGGTCAAGCGGGATCAAAACCGTGTCAACACATGGTGCTCTGGATTAGGAGTAGAGAGATGGGCCGGTGGATCATGGGCCTCGACAAAGACGCCTTCTCTTTCGCACCGGAGGACTAAATAGCTGATCTCGGGCACCGAGGTCACTTGGGTTGTAGCCGAGGGGCGACATATGTACCTCCAACGCGGCAGCACGGGTGTCGACAATGAAAACACCACGCACATCGCCAGGCTACTAGAATGCGGGCCGAGGGTTATCGAAAAGCTGGCGTTGTAGACCGCAGAGTGAGTCAAGTGTAGTCACCTTGCTTCGCCGCTCTTCGCACGATCTTACGGTAGCACCGGCACAGCTCGTTCGCCTCCGGTTCTCTCAGCATTTGTTGGAAGCTTCGCAGCGTCACATCGAACACGAGAACCTGCGGGCCCCACCCAAACACCCGCAACAAGGAGCACGGACAAAAAGAGGGGGACGACGTTCACCACCTTCGGACGATGCTTACCTACACATCTCGGCACACGGCCTGTAAAAACAAGCACCCGTTAGGCGAAAAACACAAACCGCAAACACGAGAAATCTGAATAAACCACTCCCCCGCTATCGAACACGCCCATACACAGAGAGTTCGAAATGGTCGCTTCTCCAATACTTTCTAAACGCCACAACCCCCTTCGTGTGGCCCATTCGAGTGCCCCTCAGGACTACGCATGAGAAGCACTCTTATTCGGGAGGCTAGCGGCGACCGCATTGGAACGGCCAGGTTCACATCTGATGCGACGATGGCTCGGGCAGACACGCCTACCGTGTAACCAGGAAAAAAGATACGGGTGTGACATAGGAGCCAGCAACCAACACTCTGCCTAGTCAAGTGCGCGGGCAGGGGAGACCGAAGGATAAACTAACCACGACGTGAGGTGCTGCCGCCAGGCTGGCCGTGCTGAAGAACCCAAAATTGCCAAGCATGAACCAGTACCTTCGTTCGCGAGGGCACGGACGAGGACCGAGAGACAAAAGACATGGCTAAATTGAGTTTGATACAGAGATAAGAGACATCGACAAAGGATAGAAGATACATCGCGGAATGTCTGTAACGCTACCCTTTCGAGGCCAGAACGGGAGGTTAGGCGGTAAAACCAAAAATAAAGTGCGGTCTGCGCCTGTACACCAGAGAGAGAAAGAGGGTTAGAGGTCTCGAGTGGCTGATGTCTCGGCTCACTTGTAGTTCTGCTTGTCGACGGCGCTTCCCTCCTCCACCTTGCCCTGGAGCATCTGCTCCGCAAACCTGCCTCGGGTGTACAAGCAAGCACACAACCATACGTCTTGCGTCTCAGATTATATCGGTGGCACAATCGACAAATGCACCCGACAAGTGCACTCGGCGTATCGAATTCGAGGAGCCCATGTATGAAGTATGCACCGGTAGTCGTATCGGGCACAATAGTCAAGAGCCAGCAAACTGCAACGGACGGGGTGCACACATGCCGCATGCCACCTGACGAACATGTCGCAGCACTTCTTGGGTGACGCACCGACACTTCATTTACAAATGTTGAGCGTGCTCTTGTTGTAGTAGTGGCGTCCGTTTCGATGCTGACGGAAACGAGTCTGAGCGAGACGGGACCGGCAAAGCATGCACTGGAAATCCACCAAGAAACGACGCCCACGAAGTGCCTTCTTCCATATATCACGAGAAGCAACGCGCCTATCCCTGCATCCACTCACCCGTTCTACAACATACCTGAACCCAAACCGACACAAACCACGCCGTCCGACTTACTTCAAGTCAACAACACAGCGACCCCTTGCGTGTAGGGACTCCGGCCACGCGCGACGACAGGTATCTCATCGCCATGCCTTGCGACAACAGGTAATCGGTACCCACTTCCCCCATTACCCCCCCGAACACAGCAGTAGCGACGCACCTTTCCTCTTCTTCGGTGAAAAATTGCTGCCCCTTGGTGTCGTGCACCGTTATCCCCGTGCACCCCCTGTGGGGGTCGGGGGCCTGCAGCTGGAAGGCGTCCAACCCCTTCGTTCCGTGCCGCGGTGCCGCCTTCAGCAACGCACCTTCGTTTTCCATTTTTCCATTCGTTTCGAAACAAGATTGTTGCGATGGGCAGCAACAGGGGAGAGCAAACAAATGCACATTAATGTGTTGTACGAGCATCGTGCGGAGCTGCGTATAGCGGGGTTGTACAGCTCTCGAGAACGACTACAGCCGCTACTGCTTCTTCTACGCCAATGTCCAACAACGAAAAACTGCTACCGGGCATGATCGGCCCCACGGTCCCGTCGCCAAGTCACGCAACGAAACGAGCGTACCCTCCCGCCCCCTAAACGCCCTCCCCCTGAATGCCACCACCGCGTGCTTACCGCCCCCCGGCGCCGTTGGTGGCGCTACCGAGCTTGCGCCCGTTGCCAGCGCTGGATGTTTATGTTGTTGTTGCTGTTGTTGTTGCGCCCGTTGTCGTGCCTCTTCCCCTTCCTTAGCGTTCCAGCCGACCCGTAATCGTTGCAGGAACGACTGATAAAAAAGGGGGGCCCGTGGGATGGGGCAGGGGGGTCCTCGTTGGGGTGATAAAAAACATGTCAAGTCGCTTCACAGTTTGAGGGGTCGTTCGAAGTTGTTTACACCGTCATGCATGTCCAACACGGCAACCCCTCCTCGTACAAAATGGTCGGGATGGGAAGCGGATCGCTGACACGCGACCGCACGCGGGGTTTGCAAACAAAGATAACGGGCGAGGAGTGTGCGGACGAGGGCAGCAGGTCGTGCTTGACATCCGTGCGGCGACGTACGTGTCTGCTGAAAAAAAAATCACCCACCATCCACACGGGCGTGGCGTATCACGAGTCGAACCGCTGGGGGAATCGCTCGGCGCATACTTTTTGAGTTGAGTGTCCAACTCGACTAGATTCACGGCCATTCTATGCCCCCGTCCCTCCTCCATGAGGTAGCGATGTCGATAGGCAGCGGTTGCGATGATTGCTGTTGGGTGTTTCGGTCTTTTTCTTGCGGCTACGTAGTGAAGGCTCCCTCGGTCGTGATAGTACCGTCGTGTTGTCCTGCAACCAAAACCTTAACTCTGAAGAGCGGGCAACCGAACAGCCTTCTCCCACACGATAACCCCCCAAGTATTAAAATTGTGCCCCCTTGGAGGAGTCTGGCAGGATAGCCACCACACATGGGGTTGTATTCTTTATACGTCACTAGCTGTGTCGGCTTATATCACCGTTTCTTGAGCTATCTTCGGCACGGCACGGAAAGAGAGGGAGCATAAAAACGACGAAAACAATCGCCGTATACCCCAAAGGTGCACTCCTCACATCGTGGACATGCTCGGCTAGGAACTCTTCTTTCCCCGTCACGCTACCGCTCAGCGCTCTCCACCATGTGTAAACGAGCGACGACTTGCCGGAACCTTGGGGCAGCGATGTAAACGGGGGGTCGGGGGTCGAGGGAGAGACAGGGGGTGGGGGTGGGAGGGAGAGGCAGGGACAAGACAGAGAGAGCGAGAGCGAGAGCGAGAGAGAGAGAGAGAGAGCGAGAGAGAGAGAGAGAGAGAGAGAGAGAGAGAGAGAGAGAGAGAGAGAGAGAGAGAGAGAGAGAGAGAGAGAGGTCACGGGTGAGTGGAAGCTTTCCGCGGGCATCCTCACACAGGGTAGTAATTGCTTGAGGGCAACCGCTACTGCTGTGATGCCCCCTTCGTCATAGGCGGCTGACGTACGAACAAAGGAAAGCAAGGGCGAGAGTAAGGCTCGCAGTGATGTCGAACAAAAATGAGGGACGCCTATAATACAAAGCTGCCGGTTGCTTCTGTAGCCACAACCTCCAGTGTTACGCCCAGCCACAACCTCCGGTGTGACACCATGGCGACATGGGTGGTCCGGCTCCGGCTGGGTCAAAATGTAGAACGTCCCTAATAAACCACCGCGGGTCTCTATGCCCGTTGATTGCTATATTTATTTAGTTTAAAACATATACTCTCTCCTTGAGGTGGAACTCTCGCTGTAGCAGGGTCCCAGGAGGGCGGTGAAGGTGGTAGCAGAAGCAAGAGAGCGTTCCCCGCGAATGGCATGTACGCACGCCCTCCCCACCGCACGAATCCGCGGACCGAGCAGATAATACTCCGAAGTTGCACATGCGTGCCGTGTTGCCGTAGTCTACACAACTCTCGAGGTGCGGCACATGTACTGTATTTACCGCTGTCAACTTTTCAACTACATACACCATATCTTTGCAAGCAATAGGTATCAGCTGCACTTTTGTGTAATCTCTCTGTCTCTCTCTCTCTCACACACACACACACACACCTGTAGGCCCGAGCAGGATGATGTTGATGGACTTGGGGATGCCGCGGGCGGCCGGTGTCGGGCGCTGCTCCTTGCTCTCCCATGGCGGCAAGGGCGCGCCGAGGTTGTGGATCTTGGTGCGCGTGCGACGTGCGAATGCCTCGGGTCCCCACGTCTACCCTCCCAGGAAGAAAGAAGCAAACAAGAGGAAGGCGTCCGGGCTTGTTCATGGCTGATGCGTTTCATGATATATTACCCACAGCTATGTCGAGTAGAGGAAGGCAGCGCACACCACGCCGCCGGTTCCGCGCGCGGCGGAAGGTCTGCAAACACAAAGAATATGACGCTGGTCGCTTCGGTCCTCGGAGGACAGCTAAGTATGTAGCCGAAGGAAGTTATAGATAGGCTTGGACCACGAGGCGAAACCTTGTGTCGCAAGCTGATGGCGTCGAACCCACGCACCCTTGCCCAGCAACATCGACTCTTGAAAGCCGGGGGTTGCTGGTACTCCTGCGCTGTCTTGGGAATATTATTTTTCGACACCGCGACTGCTGTTTGTGTACGTTAGACTCGCCTACACACAAAGTAGTTGCGCGGCACCGATGCACCGATGCGCAGATCGAGCGAACATTCCAACTGCCACCTCAGTCCACCCATGCAAATCACCTCGAGAGAAGCCTTGCTATCCTCTTCCGCTGCCTTCCTCACTATGTCGGAAGGTGCAGGCGTGGAACTCATCGTGCAGGGCTGCACTTTGTGCGGAGTGTTCTTGCTTTGTCTGTTGTCTCTCTCGCCTACTCGCTACCTCCGCTTTTCGAAAAGGGGGATCCCCAGCTGGGATTCTTGGAGTTTTACTGTGAAAGAAGTTGCATTCGTGAAACCGCTCCGGGTTTAGATGCTTTTGATCCGACCCGCAGAGTGAACCTGTCGACCATTGCAGGCAGGAAGGAGCCTGATACCTTCGATCTTCTGTCTTTGCGCCCAGAGGCGGGCATTCAGTTGGAGTGTGTGCTGCTGTTGAATGGCGCGGGTGGTCAACATGGCTGTGCAGACGCCTAAAGTCAAGGTGAACCGACTGATGATGTATTTTGCTGGAGCACGTTTGTTTTCGGACGTGGCATCCGCTGGGACAAACACACACGCATGCTGCAACTCTCTTTGGCTCGGTCAAACCAGCAATACCATTGGGTACTTTAAACTACAGAGGTGTGCGGAATGAATGGATTTTTCAATTGATGGTGTCGATCCTATTTCATCTTGGTTGCCAGTAAGGACAAGATGCCTCTTCCGCTAACATGTTTGATGTGGATCTGCACGTAACGACAACAAAAAAAGCACCGCAGGCGACCCAGCCCTTTGACGCAACATCAACAATTTTAATACGTGTAGCGCGGCGCTTTTGCCTTACCCAGAACAAGTTGCCCCCACTGTTGAACGTTTTGAAGCTGATCTTTAGATACATGACTAGACCCCCGGTACATCGTTCGTGTCTGTGCACCACGGAGATCGTGTGTGTGCACCACCGAGATTGGTGCTAAAGTGTCCGCCGTCACCCTCGAGGTCATCTCCCAGTTTGGTCAAAGGGCGACAGACGTAGATACATCCCCACGGAATCCACTGCGTAGTTATATTTGTACAACACAGGTGTATCACTTCGACATGCTTGGGTCTCCCCCGGAAATTTTGTTGCCAGCAGGAACAGCAGGGTGCCGAACATGTCATGCCGATGCAGGAGATGTTGCGGCAAGCAAACAATCATTTCGTCAGGTAGGTGCGCATCGTTCGGTGCGTTGCGCGCTTCAGCACGCCCGATAGACTTTGCTGACACGAGTAGTATATCACAAGATATCGTATGCATACGTACTGCTTCGAAATACAGCTCGGGCGTAGTGGATGGAGCCCGTGACTTGCAATGGTTAAGTTCTTGTTTAACCATTTCGGCAACTTGTACTTGATGTCTGTGAGGCCCATCGCATCCATACCTTCATGGTGCAGCCGATGCATCCGAGCCACGAAAAACAACTCGGAGTGTGCTCCACGAAGTTTGTCTCTACTGTAGACATTTCTCAAACTGCACCCCGAAAGCGAGGCGTGTACCGGTGCGAGCGTTGCAATCTCGCCCGCTTGGACGTGCCCACCTAACGGGCTTGCATGGTAGAGGGTGTTGTTGTTGACCAAGTACTCTCCTCCTCCGCGTTTTTCAAATCATGGTCGAGTTCCTGAGCCAGAACCAAGAACCATCTCAAAGATAAAAGTGGGGCAGCGATCAGAGAGGCCGAGCGCTACCGCGAGGTCGCAAACAGGTGTTCCTTCACGGGGCAGGACAGCGGGTTCGCGTACCACCAATCGTTCGCAGTGGGAGAGACCCTGTTTCAGGTGTGTGCGGCACGTTTGTGTCATAAAAAAGCCCATCACAAAACTCCTCAAGGCCTGCCTGCGAATTGGTTTCCTTACAATCCGGAAAGGGAGGATACCGAGGGAAAACAGTACGAAAAACTACCGTTATAGTCCCCCGCTCTGTCCAACTGTTATCCTGCTAATTTGTCTCCCTATCTGTTTCGTTGGTTGCTTTGCTTCCGTCTTGAGTATATTTCACTGGTGTCTAGATGACGTGGCACTCCGCGGCAAGGCAGTAAGCTATCCCTAAGGTTTGCGCCGCGTCCCGTGCCCTCCCCCAACTACCCGTGGAAGTTCTTGGCGATACCAAAACCGAGGAGTGGATCCCGTCGGAAGAGCGGCGCTCTCTCTTCTTCTGCTGCACCTTCCGGAACACCCACCGTCACCCGCCGTCACAGGCCACGCCTGAAGCTCCTCATACCGGACACTCTGGTTTTCAACGTCGAGGACAACCCGCAGTGGTACTACACCGACAAGGTTTGTGTGAGCGTGGTGGGTCCACGATGATATGGAATGAAGGGGAGACCTGAGCGGCAAGGACATGGGGATCTCGTATAGCGCAACGTACCGCGCATGCAGTGTTGTTGGAATATTCCGCGTTTGATTTGCACTTGCTGAAGTCAAGTCAAACTGAACCCCGATCGTCAGATGATTACCGCATGTCGTTGAGGCATACCAAAACATGGTGCACAAAAAAGACCAGCTATCACTTTTTCCATATCCCTGTCATTTGAGGGCAAAACTCGGCCGTGGGAAGCAACACGCGCAACAAGCCGGTGTCATATAGATGTATAGGCAATGGGTCACGCAGTTTGTCATACGTGTGGGCATGTTTTACGTCGTAGAATGTGTTGCAAAACTATACCACTATTGCATTTTTATTTAACTTTGTCTGTATCGTAGGACGGGTTCGTCGCTTGCATGGCGCGGTACGAGCCGGGCCAAGCAGTGGAGCAGTTTGGAGACGTGCGCTTCGACGATGACCTCTGCGCCGTAAGGAAACAGAGCTACCTGCTGCAGTTCAGCGGGGTGCGCGATGGGGAGGACCCGGCAGCAGTCTACTCCAGCGGCAACAGCCTCGCCCTCATCAACACGAAAGTGAGAGAGAGTAAGGAGTGCGAGCATGAAAGTAACAAACGTGTTTCGCTTGTTGGATCGGTCTTGGTCCGGGGGCACAGAACGATCCTGGCCATCACAAATGACAGGAAATGGAAGGAGGGGCGCCTGGGCGTACAACACAAATAGTGCCTTCAGGGTTCGGGGTATTCGCTTGCACTCGTTGATTTCGAGGGACACGAGGATATTCTGAAAGAAAGGGTAACCGAAAGGCGTGGGGAGCAGAGATTTTTTTCTCGGGAAGAGACCTGAAGGCCGCCAGGTGCTTGAAAACGAGCCCAACTTAATGCTTGGTGCGTGGGCTTCGTGTTCGGGGGAGTCGAGATTCACCTGTCGCTTGTCGACGGACAATTCAAGCAAGAGCTCGGCGCAAGAGTTGAGATGCAATCGTTTGAGCATACGATGTTCTTTAGTCTGTCGCTGGTCTTTCTTGGGCGTCATCATGCACGTGCCGTCTCTCAACTTGTGTTTTGTTCCGGCAGGACTTGCGAGTGATTACCGGGGCCTCGGTGGGCATGGACGGCGGGGGAGCGGCGGGGACGGCGTCGGAAGGGACCGGGACGTTCGTGGTCCAGAAGTTCGTCAAAAGCAAGGGGCCGCACGCTTTCATCATTCGACAGGTGCCACACCCAAGAAAGGATTATTCGCTGCGCCAATCATTCGATACTGATTACACGTACAAATGGTTTTGTCCCTCGACTCTCGGGTCTAGGAAGGGAGGGATGGCAATGTTGCGTTGTTGGGCTACAATCAAAGTGAGAAAACTAAAAACGTAACCGCATACTTGAGTCTCCACCAAAGGTAGGTCGTGAAGCGAGGCGGGTCTACAAAATCGTTGACAAACATAAGCGGCGCCAAGAAGGGGGGGGGCGCACGTTAAAAAAATCCCCCCCCTCCCGCTCTGCCCTTCTCGACTTCGAGGGGTCTCTAAACTTAGCAGGAACTACTGAGTTGCTCAGTCTAATAAAGGGACAAGTGACCAATCGTCAAAACCACTGAGGCAAGCAACACAATGGGCTCCCGTCGCCGCGCCTCCCTCGATTGCGTGTCTCCTCCGCAGACAGTGGAGCAAGGCATGCCGCCGACGGCGTGGTGCATCAGCAACCGGCAGCCGTACGGCGGAGAAATCGACCACCCAGACTCGCTCCTGCTGGCAGGGCCGCAGATCCTCGGCCGCTTCACCACGACCCCGCAGGCCAGCAGCCAGAGCAGGCGGGGGGGCGGTGGCGCGGGGGGCGATGCCGCCTCCGCCGCCGCCGCCGGACCCTGCAACATCGCGCGGCTGGGGCCGGGGGCGTGCGTGGAGACGGCGGAGGCAACGGGGAGAATCAAGCGGCACCTTGAGACGGTCCTCGACCGGAGGCTTGAAATGCTCGTGGCCGACTTCACCAGGGACGATCGGGGGCGGCTGTGGTGCTTGCAGGTCGGCTTGGTTATGGGGTGTCGCTGAGGTTGCTGCATACATATTGTTTTTCGGGACGCAGTATTGTGCGTACGCGTAGTGTTGTCGTTACCTTGCGTACTTAAGGTGCAGGGCAAACTTTGAAAAGCTCAAGGGTTGTGAAGGCATGTGAAATATTTCATTTACGAGCAGGTGGTAAGGTACGGGGTTAGCGGAGAATTATTGGGAAAATCGTCCTGGATCGAAAGCGGGAGGGAGCATGTCATAGAGTACCGAGGACGGCTGTACCGTGTATGCTGTGCCTACGTGTACACATTTGTGCGCATACGTATCTCCATGTGCACTTTGGATGCGGGTTAATGTGCGTATATGAAGCATTCTTGCTTGCGAGGAGAAGCACCCGGAGGCCGAAACAATTCCCGCTGAGCGAAGGTTGAAGACACAAGCTACGACAACAGCGGCGGCAGTCAAACCAATTGCTCCTCCCAACTCCGTTCCCTTTTCCTTTCCCACATGTGCTTCCTCTCACTAAGGTTAAGGCTTTCCGTTTCATGGGCTGCGCACCTCGACGGCCTTTCCGACTCACGGCAAAAGCCAAAGAAAACGCCAACTCCCGGTTACGGGGGGAACTCCCTTGCGCCAAGCGAAGGAGCTCCTCTTGCTCCTCCTCCCCGTCCTCCTCCGACACTGACGATCAAGCAACAACAAGCGGTCCACCTTCTCTCAGAGCAAAGAAAAAGGGGATCGCGAGCGACCGGCGTCGAAGAGGGAGCAAGAGCGGCGGTGGAGGTGGCGACCGCGACGACGGGTGGCGGAACAAAGGAGGCGGTTTCGAAACGGCAGAGATCAGCTGGAGGTCACGCTCGGGTTTAGGGCTTAAGGTTGGGGCAGGGGGAGAAGGATTCGGCCTGGAGGACGACTGGGGGGCGGCGGAAGAGGCCGCCGTGGCTGCTGCTTCCAGTTCGGGGGGGGGTCGCGGCGGAGGTGGCAGCGGAGGCGGAAGCGGTGGCGGAAAGTCGGAGAGAAGAAAGCTCGCATGCGGCATGTGCGGAAGCATGCGTTACCCCGAGGACGTGTCGTTTCGGATGACCGCGAAGATGGTCAGGGAAACCTTGTTTCACGTGAGTAGTGGCGAGGGGCTGATGAGCTGAGTTAGGACTAGGTGGGTAATCGGAACTGTTTCTCCTGATGTTGGAGACGACATGCTCCCTGCCTTGCTACTCGGCGGCATCCCGTTGCCTTCTTTTGTTGCCCTGCTCATGGCAGAGCAGGCACAACGACGACAGAGAAACCTGTACAAGAATTTGCGTTGGGTACCCGGCCTCAAGGAGGCCATATCAGCCCCGTCCTTTTAGACACGGGGCGGGGGGTTGCCGTGAGGTGATGGGGGTGAGTTGAGGAACGTATATGCCCGCGGAGCAATTTGGTCGGTGCTCGGGCAAAGTCGGCCTGTTCTTCACCACCTAGAGGTGTTGCTTCTGTAAGTATTTTCAGCCCCCTATCACCCGTCCCCCCCCCCCCCGGTTGACCGATCCCTCATTCTGCCTTTGGCGCGACAATCCAGATTTGGAGCCGACTCTCTCCCCAACAAGTCCCGAGGTCTTTGCGGATCGACGGCGGGGGAGAGACCCACGCTGGGGTGGCCACCGCAGCCGCCGCCGCCTACATCGCGCGGGAAGCTGCCACCGCTGGCGCAGCCCGCCCCACGAGTGCTTCCTCCAAACCAAGCACAACGGTCACGACCAACGGGCCGCTCGCTCCTCGTTCGTCGGCTGCTGCTACCAGTAGCTGCCACTTCGCCCCCAGCGCGAGCGTGGCCTACGGCAACGTGCGCTCGTGCGAGGCTTGCTTCACCCTGCACCAGGCGGAGGCCTCCCTCATCAGGGCGGAGCGCAGGCTCGCGGCAGCTGTCGGGAGAGGGGGTTGCACCCGAGGGAGAAGTAAGGGGGGTCATGGTGGCACGGGCTTCGACCCCGGTCCGACTGCGAGAACAAGGACTTCTGGTGCCGTGGGCCGAGATGTGAAGGGGGCGAGTGATCCACAGGGGGGGCTGGGGAGCCATGCGAGGGGTGCTGCTGCTGCTGCTGCTGCCGGAGAGCAACGGCTGGGTCATACGGGGAGGAGCCTGGGAAGCAGCAAGAGTGCTGGTTACCTGGAGGGAGGGAGAGAAAGTCGAGCAGGAGCTCGCGACGGCGGGGGTGAGGTGAGCGAGAGGTGAAGGTCCTGCTGTGCCTCCCCACGGATTTGACGACCGTGTTGTCTCCGCCCTGAACTGTTTTGCATCAGGACACGCGGCGAAGCAGCAGCCCAGGAAGCACATCCTCAAACACCCGATTGCTACGTATCATACTTAATAGGCATGTCTCTTGGTCGATTTTCGGCACGAACGTGTTTCGCCCTTACAGGAGGACGCGCGCCACCATACACATCACCACGGCTTCGATCGGGAGCCTCTTCTTCCGGGTGGCCGTCTGAGCCTCTGCCGCATCCTCTTGGCGGTCACCGAAATCCTGGACGTGCCGAGGAATTTCCTGAGAGAGGCCGCCGAGCGCTCCCGCCCCCTTCAGCTCCAGTACGAGCTTCTCGGGCACCGAGAGGTGATTCACCTGGAGAATCCCCTAGCAGTCGCCCCGTTCGGACCGTCGAGAAGCGGCAACAACGCTGTCCGATTTTCGGGGGGGAATGATGGCGATGTTGTTGGCGGAGCAACGGCAGGGGCCCGGGCAAGAGAAGGAGGGCGAGAGGAAGGAGCGGGGCTTCTGGTGCCGGTGTCGGTAAATCATTTCAGGTGAAATATTACGGTAGGCCTCGCTACTACTGCCGCTGTGGTTGTTTAATACGCTCGCATCAGTGATGCGAATGTCGGGAAGGAACACACTCAATGTTTTTCAACCCTGAGCGGCAAGAGCAGGTCGAATGGTAAGAAGCGTGTTCCGGGAGCTCGAATAAAGGGTAGATGTCATCCTAGCGAAGACAAAGCGTCCACAGCAAAGCCCCCTCCCCCCCCCTCCGTTCTTCGATTATTGCCGGAACAAGGGTTTTCACCTTCCTGGCTGGCGACACGCCGCTCAAAGGCGAACTCCCAAAGGGCTGCGGGCTAGACACCTTCCTCACCAGCCAAAGAGGCATCGTTTTGTCCCTCGCCCTCGCTCCTCCTACCAACCACAACCACCGCAAGGGAAAAAAACAAAGACCAACAGGGCGAGGGAGCAACAGCGATGCTGCCGCCACTATCTGTCGGCGGTCTAAACCTCAAACCGGGGTGGGTACCAACAACGGCGGTGGCGGCGGCGTCTGCGGGGTTGGAAGAGGAGGATTTTCCGAGGAGGGGTCGTGGTCGTCGTCGGGTCGCGGGGGTGAAGCGAGGCTGGGGCTGGATCAGTTCAGGAACGACCACGTCCAGAAAGTAGAGCTCCAGGCGCCCTTGCTGCTGTACGGCAGCGGCAAAAGAGGCTGCGATCGGGACTTCAACCGGTCTCAGCTGCTCCTGGTCAAGGTCAGACATCGCGTTACGGCTTGTCCCCCACACACGGACATGCATAACCAACAAGCGCATCGGTTCAGGTCCACTGTCGCAAGCTAGCTGGATGTCCCTTCAAGAGTCTGTCGGCCGGTGGTGGCCAGCGGCAACTCGGAGAGAGGGTACCACCATCACTACGCCCGCAACCCCGCTAGCATTTCATCCCCCCCGAATCTCGGGCAGACTTATCCCTATTGTACAACGACGGCGCCGAGGCAGAGGTAGAAAAGTACACTCGAGTGCTGCAGCTTGGGAAAAAGGATGGCGCAAAATACCATCAAGCCTCATCCCCCTCTCCCCTCTTCCCCTCCTTTCCTCTGCGTGAAACACGGATCTCCCATCATCGTGAACCCAACCACTCGTTCCGTGGAAGGCGGTTTTGGGCTTGGAGCGCGTCCGGTCGGAAGTGAACATCTCCGCGTTGCCAAAACCCCCGTTGTTCCACCGCGGGGTGTACGTTATTGGTGGCGGCGTCGAGGACGAGAGAGATGGCAACGAGAGCGGCGACAGCGGCGGCGGCGGCGGGGGGAAGGGCGGCGACGGGTTTCACGTTTGCCACCCTTTGCCGGACGCGTGGCTGGAAATCGGCAGGTATGGCGTTTGGAGGGGAGTACCGAAGCGATGAAAGCCCACTATCCCGGAAGCGAGCGCCCAGAGGCTTTCCTGGGCATTGCTGTGGAGTTTCTAGCGTCGCTTCGTGTGCGCTGGAAGGGGTGCGTTTAGTGCGAAAATAGACAAGCCAGTGTAGACACCAGCCTGAAAGATGACCATACGTTCGTTGTAGAGTACGCACAAGTACTTTCCAACAGATGGGAAACTGCGGCCTGATGGCAGCCGGCTCATCTTGACGCGACAGGGGAAATCGGCGGCGTCGACTGCGCTCGTCTCGTGTGTTGTGTGAGGAGGTGCTACAGTTTGTTCGCACTCACTTGCACTTCTTCCCATCGCTCTCCACGCACCCGTCACGGGCCGGCGTGTTGCCTCGGCCAGTTTCGGTCAAGAGAGTAGTATCTTGGGTAACCACCGCACGCGCCATTCGTTTCTCCGGCATCAGGTGCTCGGAGCCGGGCCGGTTCGTGGGAGAGGCACCCCGTAACGATGGTGGTGGTGGCACCAGCAACAGAAACAGCAACAGCAATAGCAAAGGCAGGCGGCGGCCATGGGCCGCGGGTCGATCTTCGTCTCCTACCCACCGTGACGTCGTGGCAAGGTATGCAATAACATATTTCAAACAACCACGCTATTTCAGGTGTAGCTAGGGCTCCACCCCGGTGGCGGTTCTGCAAAGGACAGTACTATAAACCATCTATCTATTTCCGCGAATTGTGTTGAGTTAAAAGGGATTGATCCCTCAGACCACTCAATCTGCGCTAGCTTCTTGATCTAAATGACTTGCGCCTTCAACATAACAGGATACTCCAACTTAGCCAATAAAAGCAAGGTTCTCCCGTTCTGTGAACAACTCGCCAAGAAAACAAAAGCAGTGATAGACTCCCCTCACTCCTATGCGCACCCTGGTTCTGACAACCCCTAACTTCCTTCGTTGATAGCGAAGACATAGGGGTCTGTGGCAGAACTCCTCTGTCATAACTTGATGCATAATAAACACACGGATGAAAAAGAACTGCATCCCCCCCCCCCCCCCTCTTTTTGGGCCTACTGAAATACCCACCTTAGGCAAGATCGTCCCGTATCCGAGGAGAAAATGGAAGCCGATCCAAGCTCTGTGTGGGGCCTGTGTGTGTGCGTCGCCGGCGTGCACCGCCCTGAGGGTCTAGCCGTAGTCCGAGAAGGGCAGCAACAGCGGCAGCTGCAGCGACAGCAGCAGCAGCAGATTGAGGACCAGCGGCTGCAGCAGCAGCAGGCTGATGACCAGCGACTGCAGCAGCAGCAGGGCCAACAACAGCCCCGACCGCAACGACAAGTTGCGGCGAGAAGTCCACGCCACCGCCGTAGCACCACCGCCACCGACAACGGCAACGCCACCGGTGGTATCAGGAGACCGACCTGGCTGCAAGCACCACCGCTCAAAACCGCCGCCCAAACCGCAGCAACGATATCGGCACCGACTCCGACAGACCGGCGCGGATGGCAAGTCGAGTGCTCGGTGTTTGGACATCAGTTTCGAGCGGACAGGCCGATGGGCGCACCTGTGCCCAAGCCGATAGTAGCCAAAGCTGAAAACGCGACGGAGGACGGGCTTCCCCTCGGGGGTGTTGAGGCGCATGCCTACCTGCAGTGTGGGGTTGAGCGATTACGGGGGCTGTTTGGTGGGGATGGAGACGGGGGTGGTGGTGGTGGTGGTGGTGGTGGTGGTGGTGGCGTTCTCACGGTGGAGCTGTTGCATCGAGGCGACACGGGGGACGACGATGTTGTGTGGGAACGCGGCGACGACCAGGACCTTGTTCGATGTTACTGCGAGGTAACGCGAATGCACGCATGTATTTACGCATCGTCAGATCCTTGAGACAACAATCAACTCACCCGTCCTCCAGCGCCTACAGCAACTTCCCTGCAGCTTCTTCGATATGTATGACATCTTCCGAATCGCCCGGGACATGTAACGCCTTAACATGGAATGAAACCGATTAGAATCGCCTGGGAACATGTGGCGTATGTCCCTACCATCCCCCCCATCTACCCCCGCTTGAGTGGAGAAGTCGGGGTCGGTTAACGACAAAGCAATCATCCAGCGAGCGACCCTCTCCCCCCCCCCCC